TCTCTCTCCCGCGCCCGCCGCCGCCGCCGCTGCTGCTGCTTTTCTCCTCCATCTCCACCTTCTCCTTCTCCTCTCTGCTCCTTTTTGTCAGATATAAGCTGGTGATGTCCGTCAAGGCTTAGCTAACGAGAGAAACGACAACGACAATAAGCTCGATTTTGAACACAGTATTTTGACATAATACGACATGTTAAAATAGTATAACATTTAAACCTCCACCGTCATTTGCCTCCAAAGCTAACAATGTGCCGTTTGTTTTAATAGCGAACGGGCTCACAGGCCAATTACCATTAACGTATAGTGTTTTTCCATCTCACTGAAAAACACGAGCCTAACATCACATCTGTTTTAATAACACGATCCCTTATATTTTAAATATATTTTAGATTAATTAATGTTTTTGTATGGATTACAGCTGATTCGTGTGTGCTTGTGACAAAGAATGTCATGTTCTTATGAATAATATGGGTTGTAAATCATCAGTCACGTTGCAGCAGTTTAGAAAACGCATTCACATATCTGAGAAATTCAATTCAATTCAAACCTGAGAAATCACGAAAACCCCACAACTACCCAGGCTGTATATGAAGGAAGCCAGCCTGATCTCTATGAGCTATGAACATCTCATGTGAACACACACACGCCTAGTGTGTGTGTTCACATGAGATGTTCATAGCATCCTCTGTTGAAAAGCTAATCCCCTATTGATCTTACATGAAACTCTGTATCCCAGTTTTGAGTTTTTTACCCTCCAGCTGACGTCATTTGGGATATCATGTTTAGAGAGACCAGGAAAAACCTGGTTGTTTGTGTCCTTGTTTACTTGTTTTGTATCAGTACCCGTGTGTAGTATACTGTTATATTCTAAAGGCTTTTTATTAAGTGTCACTTAATGAAGAACCCATTAAACACCATTTTCCATGGGATATATATATATATATATATATATCTTTCATTGTATTTTGTGGTACCTTTTTCATTCTCTAATTTTCCTTTTCTAATGGTCTTCCCCACAGGAATTTTGTATCATGGTCCGAGAAAGTATGCGTCAGATGTATTTCATAATCAGATCTTTAAAAATGCTATACCTACTCTTTTGTTGACTTTGAGTATTTATACACTGGGGCTACCATTTAGCTATTTTGTCAAGGGATTTATATAACGCCCCACAACAGTAATATCATCCAGTATGAATTTCCAAGTAATTTTGCATTATAACTTTTAAATCCCACATCCTGCATCAAACAACGAGACAGACATTTGTTTCAAATAAACATGCACTCAACTTCTGTTTGATTTGTCAGTGCCAAATTTCATCACCTGAGGGCATGTTATAGTGAAGACAGTAACATGAGAGCATAACAGATGTACCAGTTTTCATACTCCATACTACAGCGTATTCACTTCTGTCTATGTGGCAGTTGGCCCTTGTTTTATTTTGAGAGGAACTAAAGATAAGACGTCATTAAACTAGGTTTATTGTCACTGTGGACTTTGTCAGCGTGATCTGAGTGGATGTGCATATTCTGTACACAGCAAAAGTAAGAAACATATATGTATAATATACTGTACATATAGTGATGGTATTATCATTAAACTAACAACCTCTATAGCTGTGTGCCATAAGAAAACGTTTCTTTAAATACAAAACTATTTCATTTTGTGTGTAGTTTTAAAGCTGCTTTGTGGTCTGGTGATGACACTTGTTACCCATCCACGTCATTATATCCCTGGCTTATGGTGATAAGGCTTAAGTAAAAGTTGTGCATGGTCATTTTCATTTGCTGTCAGCATCAGTGTATTTTCTTTCCCTCTTGACAGCACAGATTGACACCCTGCTCTGTTGGCGGATGTACGTCAGTGGTGGGTTTTTTATTGTCCAAAAAGCAATTAACACAAGCACGCTACAAGACAAACTCACAGTGTGGATTCAAGTGCTTTTCTGTCAAACATTCACCAAAAATGACACAAAAGCCTCACTTGCTAGGATTTTAAAAGGACCATATGTCAGGGTTGGGGGGGTAGGAGGGTCTGTTCAATGTCAGATGTGCAGAACGGTAAAAGTGGGTCGCCAGCAGGTCCCAGACAAAGAGCTGCTAAAGCAGTGGTCGGAGTGGCAGGATACCCAATCTGTTCTTTTTTCACTGGAATCCACTTATTGTGCAACACTTATTGTCAACTCTTGAAATAAATAAATTCAAGGTCTATTGGGCTGTTTTCAAAAAACATACCAGCTTAAAATTCAGCAATGGAAGCAAACATCTGTAGTTTGTTAATTCACTTTTATTTATGATCAAAGAGTAGACAACAGTCTGTTTTTAAAGGAAAATACCAAATAACTTATATTTGGTGATCATTTTAGTCACAGTTTGTCATTTTGATTATGTCGTCCTCTTATCATTCCTGAGATTAAATATATCTGTTGACAGAATATTTTTCTTCATTATGTTTTTGTAAGTAAAATAATAAGTAATAATATTATTCAGAACTGAAACAAAATACATTCCACACCTGTACCTAATATACCAACCAATATTTTGTCAAATATTGGTTCTCTGCTGCAAATATAGGCTACGCTTAGTAAAGTATACTAAATACTTCCAAGTTAATTTTTTTTTAATACCCAAAGTGGATTGGCCTAGTAATCTGTCTCAATGAATTGACTCAATCAAATGACAGTTACTAAATGCTGCAGCGAGAAAAACTGCTGTTGGCACAATGTACTTTTTCTTTCTTCTTGAGTTTCATTTTGTCTCATTTTGGTACTTTTAGCAGAAGTCCAACTCTTTCACTCTTACTTTAAACAGGACTGCTCTTAATTATATAGAAAACAGTGTACTCTTTTTAATTTTTTTTTACTAATTAGTATATTCTTATGTGTTTAAAAAGCATTAAAAGCCTCCATTGGCTGTTCTTCTATTCATTTTCTGGCATAATTATTGGATGGAAGAAAATGAGATATGAGTAAACTTCCCTTCAGGACAGGATGGAGCATGTTGTGTTGAATTCCAGTCCTGGAGGAGAAGGTGTTCCCAAGGTGTTCCTTCTTCTGCAGGTCTGTGATAATATCTGATCATCACTGGAGGCTGTTTTTGTCAGAACCTTTAATGAGGTTGCAGAGTGGCCTCTTGCTCAAGTCAACGTAGCCTCCAGGGACTAAACACATTCTTTCACAGGCAGTTACTTGTTTTTGTTCCGTAGTGTTTCACAAACAGCTGCTGCAGCATACCAGCAACAACTACTGCTTTTTGTGTCCATCAATGACACCGAGCACTTTGTCATAAGAGACAGGAAGCCCTGACCAATTTTGATCTAGAAGGACTCAGATGCTGTGATTATTGTTGCTCTTCAGTTGTGATAAATGCTCCAAAATATCTGAATGGTTTACATTGTTTTAGTCGAGTGCTTCAGCAGACCTGCTTCAGGGCTTTTTTGCAGGGTAACCTGCATATTGAGTTGGCTAAATGCTAAGTCACATGAGCCAACCCTTTACACTACTTGCTTGCACACCAATTGTGATGTTGACTGGAGTGGATCCAAAGTCCATCCAGTTAAAGAACTGAAGAAGTGAATTTCTCTTCCTGAGATCAGGTCCCTTCATTGTCTCGTTGTGAACAGGAAGTTAATAAAAAGAGCTGGAGTCATGTCTGACCAAGAAGCCTCAACGAGCTTCCTTATGTGATTACTCTGCAGTCTGCTGTCATGTATGTGTATGTGAAAGGATGAAGGATCAGAAGGTTTCATTCTTAACGCGAGTTCCTTAAAAGTCTCATGTTCTCACAATAATGGGAAGTTATCGGTCAGTGCTTTTCTCTGTCGTACACTGTGGACCCCCGTTGGAGCTTGACTGCATCTTGTAATTGCACTGTGGACAATATATTTGCAAATGCATTTCCTTCTCTACCATTGTATGTTTTTCCTTCTTTCAGACTGCTACTGTCAGACTGTTTCTGGTTGACCTGTTAAATAAACAAACCTACAAATGAAAAGCAACGTTTTTATTTACCCCTGCTGCACATCATTATTGTTTTACATGTGTGATGTTTAGCCTCCCTTGTGGTGATGGTGTTATTTTAAGACAGGCAAACACTGGATGATCCTGGTCTACTGTGCTGTACTGCTTCTGTAACCATGGGGTCAGTACTTCAGGGAAAGGATTTACCATGAATTTGCAGTAGACTTAGTTCTGTGTAAGATTCAGTCAATTGTTGAACTAAGACAGTTGCTTTTCCTGTGGTTGATTCAATAGACAACAATGTGCATTGCTGTCATAAAGTATTTTTGTGGTAAATTAGCAAAACATAATCGTGTAAGAGACAATGAGACTGTGAGTATTTTTTTTAAAAAGTTTTTCAGTTGCAAGTTTTGAGCACAGGTTTCGATTAGTTATAAAATAAGTGGCAGCAGAGCACATTTTGCTTAAAATTGGTTTTAAATTACACATTAGACAGTGGTCATCTCTTATTTAGACCTAAATATCCCTGTCTGCTTTAGTCTCAGGTTGTCTGCAGGATTCTCGTCCTGTACAGTTTTTTGTCCTCCCCTGGTTATTGTGCATGACCCTGCAATGAACTGCCATAAAAAATAGGAATGCAACTGAAAATGACAGCACCTTGTTAATATTTGTGTTTTCAGTTCCATCAACAAGTTTCATTGTAAATCATGTAAATCAGTCGACTTCTATATCTCATTAAAACAGACCTAATAACAACGTACATAAGAAAAAGTGTCGTCGTGTTGTTAGTGGAACACTTGGCGTGAAGGCCCAGAACTATGCAAACATACAGACTGAGTCCAGTGCATTCAAAAATACCTCACTCGGTGAATCAGCTCCAGGCAGAAACCTGTTTTCGCACAATCTCCCACCTGCTAACATTCAGTTCCAAAGTGAGCTCAGCTCAGAATGTTGAAGAATTCTCAGTGAGGGCTGTTTCACTCCTGGATGGTTGTATCCACATTCAGTGGATTCTGTTTAAACTTTACACTGAGGTTCGTCTCCAACCACAGTGTCTTCTTCTCACAAATTTTTGTTTTGCAAGGCTAATGGATACATACATATTTGAAAAGCACATAACCTGCCGAGTCTCGTCAGGTCCAGAGTTGCTGTTGATACTCCTGCCAAAAAGAGGTTACCGGTACACGTCTTCCCTGCAGCAGCACATTTATTTGTTGGATTGGTTCCATTGCTCATAGGTCCGAGAACTGCAATGCATGGTTAAACCTGTACACAATTAAAAAAAAAAAAAAATATATATATATATATATATATATATCCATTGACTCACGATTGATGGAGCCATTACAGAACAGGTAAATATTCCCTGTTAACACGTACCTTGGTGTCAGACTGCCTTCAGCAACAAAGTGTATGTTGTTATAAAAGGACCAGGCACTTCGAATTAGGTCTGTTTTACTTGTTTGGTCTTTTCTCCTTCAGTAGTTTAAGGAATGATCCGTGACTCTAAATATAGTGTTGGGAGACAGGGGGAGAGAATAATTTTGCATTTATGTCACAGGATCTTTGTTTACAGAGCAACTGCTTTTCCTTCTAAGGACATTTAGCTGTGAATCATGCTCCTTCATCTGTATTTAGAGTTGATGTGTGGTGAACGGAGGAGAGAATGGCCTGATGGATAGAACGGAGGGAGAAAAAGACTTTCTTTCCTTTCCTACCCTTTCGTAGACTTGTTGCAGCTAGTCTGTATGAATAATTTATATGGCTACTGTATACACTGTCTTATAGACAAAACAGGGCTGGTTTGTATTCTGGCATATTTCAAAGTTATTACTTTAAGGTTGAATTTGCATTGTTTCAGCTGGCCTCTTTAACTCAGATTTAACTCAGTGTTTTTGGGGTTGATATCTGTTGACATTAATGACATTAATCTGTTGACATTAATGACTTAACTTAAAGGGATTGAATACAAATCCATTTTCTGGCGCAGTTGTTAGCCTCCATTAAAATGAATGGAAAAGCTCAGTTCTGAAATTTGGTAATTCACTAGGGAGTGGTTGAATATATCAACCTGCTTTGTATTTAAATAGCTAAGTAGTGACCAGAGGTGGTCCCTGTTTCGTCTCCTCATCATGTTAGGAGTCCTCAACCTCTTGCAGTGCTCTTGCAGCTTTGTGCTGATGCCCGATTTAACTCTGCAGAGCAAAAACAAATGAGCGTAATTTCCCTAGACCATTACTTCAAACAAAAACAAAGAGAAGCTCCATCAGGTAGCGCTCTCATGTGTGGTTTCGACACGCTCACAGAAACGCGTTCGGGCCGGTCGTCCTGGCATGTTGAGGTATGACTGACGAGAACCTGGGGCCTCTGTGAGGAATCCATACTGCAGGGATTCCATGTCACATGTTGTTTTACAGATAAAATGGAGCAGAGCTAATGCTAAACAACAATGACAATACACAACACTTCCTGTATACATAACTTCACATAACATCAGTTGGTGTGAAGTTGTGTGTCAATTATTCAAATTTGTAAGTCAGTTGGTTAGCTAGTGGTCGCTACTGGTCGTTTTGGGCATGGCAGAGGAAGTCAAAAGTGTCATAACAACTTCCTGTACTTTTTCTACTCCTTGAAGAAAAATAAGCCACATGTACATATAAGGCCAGAAAGACAAGATGGCACAAGAAGTTTTTCATTGTGTTTGGAGTGCACACCCATTGCACACATCCAAATATGGTAACTAATCTTGCTGCTTTTTTTTTAACGCAGATATTGCGCTCCAGCCAACATTTTGTTTCTTGTCAACGGTATAATGTCTCATAAAATAAAAGAGGCTTATATTGATTGAATGTCAAGTCAAAATTCCATTCCAAGGTGTTTTTTCACATTTGATTTTCTTTCAAATACATTGTAAGTGCATGTTATGTTTGTGCTCAGCAGCCTTACCACAGTAAAAGGAAGTGGTGTAGCTCTCAGCCTGCTAGATAAGCAGCAGAGCCTGAACTTCTCACAATAACTGAGCTCTAGAGGATCCATGGAGGAGGAGATGCACATGATTGCATCTACAGGAAGCTGCATGGCTTCTCTGTTAATGACATATTCATTTGAAATGCATCTCTCTCCAGATCTTCTCCATGGTGTAGCCAACAGTCTCACATTAAAACAACTGCGTTGTCAGAAGTGTAGCCAACACTCTCACATTAAAACAACTGCGTTGTCAGCTTAATGTACCACTCTGCGATATTCAGTGCCATATTTAAGTGTGTATCAAAGACGATGGCAAGCAGACATGAGTCTTAGTACACAACAAATTAAAAATATAATATTAATACACAAAAAGTATTTTTAATACATATTGCCACCTAGTGGAACTTCTGCCTCTCACTGTTATGTAGACAAACAAAGACAAATTATTTGCAGTAAATAAATAAAAGTTTCAGACCAATTACTTTAAATTAGCCAATGAGGTCGGTAAAATCACTGATAAATCACTAAAAAGCCAAGGACTGTAAGGTTAGGCCTGAAAACGTTGCCAAATTACTTACAGCATAAATATCACTCAACATTTTCCTGTTATTTGTTTTAATGCCTTTAAAAAGTACTTTTGCTTTTTCTTTGACTCTTTAAAGACAACAAACACATTTTCCCTAAAACCTCTGTGAAAACAGCCCCACACTTCAGCCTCAGCCCTCTCATCCTCCAGCTCACACATTACGTAACAAGTTTTTGGCATCATCGGTGTCTGCAGTGGAGACCACCTCATCCTAACAGAGGCTGGTCTTCCATCTTTCACACTGGTTTTCCACGACAGATGTAGACCGAGTGTGTGAGCATCTCTTTGTTTGTCATCCACTTGAACTACCTGTTCATCCTGCTCGTAGACGAGGCCGTGCTCACTGCTCCTGCAGACGTACTCCAGCACTCCTCAGGGCAAATACAAATTTATGACTACAGTACTTTGTGTGTCAGCGTTGCTTGGGTTTACTTTACTCCAGAAACCTTCTCATTTACTTTGTAAAGTAAAGGCTTTGAATTCCTTCTGTCACAGTGAAGCAAACTGCAAAATGCGACGAAGTATTAACACCTCTGCTGAGAAACTCGTTAATAGTGTTAAAGAGCAGCCTGGACCGTGGAAGCGTGAACCTACCAGTTGTGCCGAGTGAAAGAAATGCTTCAATAAAATGTCATTACAAAGATAAAAAAAACCTGACAGAATAAGTGTTTCACTAAAACATGGCGAGAATATCTGAGGATAATCCTTCCATGTTAGGTTGCCCTGTGCACCAGTATCTGCACTGCGAGCGTGGTTCTTAGCTGTTGTCCAGTTTTGTGGCCAGACCCATGCAGAGAATCCCACAGTTTGGCTCACATGAGCAGACAGAAGGCACCTGATCCTTTCCCAGGGGTGCAGAGAGACAGATGGAGCGATGAGACAGAGGGAGAGACAGGGAGATAACATTAACAACATTACAGTGCCCTGACGGTAACATGAGGACAGAACTGGACGTCCAGTGTGGTGTCATCCAGTTTGTAATCTGATAGATTGGTGATTTTTAAACCTTATTACACTAAATTGACAGATTAGGGGTTTGTCTAGACGGTAGACTGTCTTTGGTGAGTTTGTCTTAAGAAATGTAAGAATTCTAAACATTGAAGACACAGCCTCAGTCCTCTTGACTTTGAAATAGTCACATCAGCTGATTCTCTTCAACAATAAACCCTCACAGTCACGTAAATCAACTTTCTTCCTCTCTTTCTCATACTCGCTCCCCTTGACCATAATATTTGTAAGAGCAGCGAGTTGCTGACACGAAGAAGCTGTTGAACAGGTTTCCTTAAAGAAGTGGCCAATAATTATATTTATTTTTTCTCTTTGCTTTTCCAGGACAATAAAAGCCCTGAGGAAAAACCTGTCCAGCGTTCAAAGGTAAACATGCACTGTCTCTATGTTCAACAGTCTGTGTTTCATTTTAATCAACTCTTCATCTCCAGCAGGGTCAATCTTCTTAGCCTTCACGTCCAGTTTCTGCTTGTTAATCGTTGCGTTTCCTCTTTGTGTTCAGTCCTTCAGCTTTAACGCTAACAAGGAAGTCTGCACATCATGTCAAAAGACAGTTTACCCAATGGAGAGATTGGTTGCCAATAGCCAGGTCTTCCATACGTCATGCTTCTGCTGCAAACACTGCAACACCAAACTCAGGTGATTATATAGGAAATGTATACATATATACTGTATTTGTTTTTTTAATAATTCTCTGAACGTTTGTATGTTAACTGTTTGTATGTTCCCTCCCTCCTCACAGTCTTGGCCCTCTGAACGTTTGTATGTTAACTGTCATGTTCCCTCCCTCCTCACAGTCTTGGCTCCTTTGCGGGCATACAAGGGGAATTCTACTGCAAACCCCACTTCAAACAGCTGTTCAAAAGCAAAGGCAACTACGACGAGGGCTTTGGACGCAAACAGCACAAAGAGCTCTGGTCCGCTAAGGACTCAGATAACGTCACAAAGACGGCATAATCACGTCCCGTGTCCCTTTCCAGCTCCCTGCCTCCTCCCTACTAACACCTCCAATATGACAAATGAACAGATGCCTCGTACGCACAGGCTCTGTTTAATTACCCACACACTCACTCACTCACTCACTCACTCGCTCGCTCGCTCACTTTTTAAATGCCATCAGAACAGATGCATGCACAAAGAGCTAAGAAAGACTGATGAGTCTGAATCCATTCCTTTTTCCTATCTTTCACTTTAAGATCAGTTCCGGGATTGTTTTTATCGGCATCTTTACTCTCCAAATTTTCTTTTCCTGTTTCGCTGCCGAAATTAGTTGTTGATTGCGACCAAAATGCTTTCCAAAGTAGGGAATAAAAATATAATGCATATAGGATTCTTTAACTTTACAGTGTGCTCAGGCAAACACATTAGAGGCCATTGAGGTGCATTCCTGTTTTGCAGCAGAGCATACACTCAGGTCAATTCTCGCCCAAGGATTTAAAGTAAAAAAACAACAACACCTTTTTTTCCCTTTTTTTAAAAAGAAAAAACAAATAAATATAACTGTCCTCAATGTTGTGACGTCTCTGTCAGACACTGTTTTATCAGGGTGTCAGGTTATATATATATATTGAGGAACAAACAGGGTAAACAGTACTGTAACATAACTGCACACATCAGCAACAGCTCACCTCTCTACCTTCACCATAGTTTTACTATTCCTCACCTGTTTCTTCCTCAAAACACACTGGGTCTTATCGCTGCACGTCTGAGTCTCAACAGCCTTATCTTATGACTGTCTTACCAGTTGTGAATGATTTTTATTTGTCAAATCCCCCTTTTTTTTTAAAGCACTTGCGATGGATTGGTTTGATGTCATGGCATACGTTGGTTCTCTCTGAGCTTTTATGGTTGTGATTTTAATGGGATTTCTAAGCTATGCTTTCAGTACAAAAAGCTGTTCCATGGAATCGTGAACACACAACCACATCCAAGTACAGTAGCTGATGATCTCAAGACAAACAGGCCTTGTTCTTTGATACCCTTTACTACATTTTATGAGGCGTTTTTACACTGAATGAATTTAATCATGTTGTAGGTCTGTGCCATAAATTAAGACGATTGTGGGCAGAGATTTATTTCCCCAGGAAACGACACCTTTCTGTTCTCGTATTACTTCACATTTTAAAGCCTCTGCCATTGTCTTTGTTGGAATTAAGTACGCTCTAACAACTGAACAGCAGCTGAAAGTAACAGGATCATCGAGGGTGTGTTTAGACTTCTGCTTTTGCCCCACTAGTGTCTGCTAAAAATGAACCACTGCTATCATTCCCACCTTGTTCATGTACTTCTCACTGCTGTGGTAACATGTTAGCAATGATGCTATTAATCTGAGTGAAGAGTGCCCTCTGCTGGGGAAAGTGTAGAATGACATTAGAGGAAGATGGAAACAAGTCCCAAAAGAAGAGCCTTTTAGTATAGCATTTATTTGTTTTAATATTTTATTCCTAAGTTTCCTCAGGTGGCGGTGCAGCTGCTGCATCTGACACGTTGAATTATAGGTATCTACATCGTTTTTTTCAAAATGTCCTCAACCTTGTTTTATTCCGCGCTAAGAATCTAGTCTAAAGCCATTTTATTGTCTGATTTAGGATTTGTGAATACCACTGAGACTTGACTGACACTTGAATGGATATTTGGTGACTAAAGGTTTACTGTCAATTTAAGAGTGCTGTGCAGAACAGAAATCTAAACTTAACATATGGGTTTTTCCTACTTTTTTTAAGCATTAAAGCCTTAGGAATAAAGAGTTGACCTTATCACCTTTGGAAATTAAGTTGACATAGATTTCAACTGAGAAATCTGATCACTCTTTTCCTCTTTAATCCCATTGTTTAACTAAGACTCATTTTACACTCAGCCATTCCCTCCCTCTAAACCATGTCAAAAACTCTGCTGTATTTGTAAAAATGGTAACTATGAACCCCTGAGAATGCTTTAATATTAAGTGTCACTAACCGTTTTACATCATTCTCATCATTATAGATTTGCCAAGGTACCGCTGCAGAAATCTGTGAATCGCAATTTTTATGTGTAACGAAGGAGGAAGGTTAACCTTACACTGGTGACAAGAGGCTCAGGTTAATGATTGCAGTGTCACATTTTTATGTTGAATCTGTGAGTCATTTCAGTTTATCTTTGTGCTGAACTTGATGTGGTCTTCTTGATGTCGTTAAACCATCAACTCCTTTTAGATGGATGCATCATTTAATATGTATTACTGTATGTCAAACTTGTGGATTGAGGTGGCCTTACAGCAAAATGACTCTCCTGGGTTTAAATGACTGGGATTACAGTCTTTGGTTTTTAACTTTCTTTTTCTTATATGTGGCATGTGGAACATTTTAAATGTAAGCGCCACCTTTCTGCGCCAATGTACACAATCTTTTTGTGCGTTCTTTTGTTATTTTTACATGCATTTGGAGAAAAATAAAATGCTGGTGTTGATTTAATATAGGCCCCATGTGTTGTTATTTAAAAATAACTAAGAAAAAAGGTAAATTTGCAGAATGTTACTGTCCGTTTGTGTTTTTATTTAAACTAAATTTTCATTTTACATAGCACAGTGAGTAATTTCTGTGATTCACGATTAAAAAAGTTTTATTATTATTATTATTATGTGATGCAAACGAGTTGAAGGGGATTGGACTTCCGGTTTTCAGAAACTCTCGATGGGAGCGCGAGCGTTACGTCACAGTTGACCCACCCCCAAATAATATTTTTGCGCGTTCCCGTCAACAAAAACCAAGAACAAGTACAAGCGCGATCCCGCGGTAGCACGGCGCAAAACAGAACCGTTTTAGAAATCAGAAATTCCCCTGGGAATAAATTTGTGTTCGCACACATTCGTGGACGACGCACCGACAGAACGACGCATGGAAAACACGTTCACGAGCTCACGCTGCCATACTTGTTGGTAGAAACGGATTCCGGCTGACATTTCTTTTTTTTTCTGTCAGGAAGTTTGACGTACGTGGCTGCAGATTGTTTTAGGCATTGTTTTGGTCTGTGAAAGTTTTTCAGCGTCATTGGCTGCAGATCTCGTGTCTTTGGAATACACTGTCGATTTTTTTAAGTAATACTTAAATCGTGCATACTCGCGAATGCACCACGATCCGTCTTCAGTTTTTTTTTTAACAGCTTGTATTTCCAGAAGATGACGGGGTTTGATAAACACGAACGTGTGATTAGACATGTCTTTTTAACTTAGTTTTTAATTTTGCTTATGTTGTAACTGGTCTGTAGATGAGACAATGCGACTCAGTCATAAAAGTAAACATTCTTCTTCGGTGAAGCGTTGTAGAACCAGATCTGGCAGCATACCGAGAGGAAAAACTGCAAAGTTAGCAGGAAGAGAGGCCATCAAAATCACGGAAACTGTCCACTCTTTGTCCCTCTGACGGACCTGCTCCTCATGAATGGATGTCATACTTGTGAAAAGGATGATTGTACGCTTTTTTTTCTGTTAAGTGTCACTTTTGGAAGACATATTCTGGAAATGTAAACTTCCCATTTCCCCCATCCCAAGAGTCGCTGCACTTTTTTGCAGACTCTGGAACAGTTTGATGGTGGGTTTTCCCATTGGATCATTTTCGATTTATATCTAAAACTTGGAAACTTATTTTATGTCTGCGCCAAGTCTGTACTGAAGAGGAGGAGCCCCCGTTACCTGGGGGGTCAGCCCCGCCATGGACCTCACGCTCTCCCTCACTCACACACCAACACTCAGGTGTTTCACCGTGACAGAGGACACTGATGGACGTGGACTACTGCGTCATCTTTGCTGAGACATCGCTGTAATTGGACACGTCTGGGCAAGCCTCGTCCTGTCCCCACAGTCAGACTGTAAAGGTGAGGGTTGGCAGCTGTGAACGTGTCACGGTTGACAGGTACATACTGGGTTAAATATGCTGTGTTTAGGTCATGTGGAGAAAACAGCTGGCGCCGGGATTTTCCCCCAACACAGAAGTTCATAGTTCATCTTTTACAATGGGTTTTAGAAGATGTCAAGTCCTTTAGTTTCCATAATAAAGATTTAAAAAACGATATAGATTATTCCATTGTAGTTTTTCAGAAAAGTTGGCAAACTTCAGAATGTGATTTTTTTATCTAAACCAACAAGACTAACCTATTTGTTGAATAATAATAATTAATAAAAAAAATAATCTAAATATTCCAAACCACAGTGACTGAAGCATTCATAAATGATCAAAGATGCTGTCCTGTCCATCATCACCTTTAACAGTTTATAAAAAAACGTTCCCCCCTGAATTCTCAAACACAGACTCAAGTTTTAATTGTCTTATTATAAATCTCAGTGGAGCTTACAGGTGACCCTGACCCTGCACAGTGTTAGGTTGTGTTTATTGTTTCATGTGCAGACAGTGGCAGGTGACTTCAGCTAAAGTAGTCCTTGAAACATCTAGCTATGTTTATAATGATAGCATGGCTGATTCTAATGTAGGAACTCCTTTTGGTTTGATGACCATGCAGATTGAGCAATGGTCTCTGACCTTTGGCCTCTATGCGTCTCCTCACTTCTTCAAACCTTTAACAAAGGGCAAGTTTTTTGATCAACATTTGTCCACTTGTTTTTAGATGGATACAGTTGTTTACTAGTATATTGAAGATTCTCTATTCATGCTCTTCGGCCATACACAAATACAAACTTACATCTAGACTAGTGTTACTACTGGTACTACTACTACTGCTACTAATACTTTTAGTAGTATTACATACTGTATGGAAATTAAGCTTGTTCCCTGTTTGAAAGTTTAAAAAAATTAAAACAAATCCCCCTCCTCCCAAAAAACAATTTTCTTTGCATAGATAGTATTTTGACTTCATCATTTAATGGGCTCTGGGCCACTTGGTACTGTAAATATTGGGCCACGAGGTTAAAAAGGTTAAGAACCCCTGTTTTAATGCATCTTGGTGCTGAATCCAAGAATAAATACAATTTTCAATTATGTAGATTCATAGTAATGGTGAAGCATCGCTGTCTGCTGTCACAGGCACATACTTTGTGCAATCACAACAAATATTCATCATGAAACGCACATCAAGTTTTGCTTGGAATGTTCACTTAACTTTAAAGCAAATGTTAAATCAATAGAACAAAAATACTTTTATAAATTTTTCCCATGGTCCATACTGACAGCTTTTACCGAGTGCAACAATATTTAAATTTGGCGAGCTATGCTGTTGCCAGAGCACCTGAAAAGGAAAGACATGATGCCAGGGGATTCTGCTACAGAGCCCTGGGTCCAGATGCTTCAGTGGCCAGAGACAGACTGAGGACTGTGGCTGGGGAAAACAGCTTCAGACTAAACAGCTCTCCCTGCAGACAGAGCAGAGAGGGAATGGGGGGGTGGAGGGGGTGTCCATGTAAATCTTGCTAGTCTTCGAAATATGATATAATGAAAACAAAGCGGGCACAGATGACTGGACTGGTAGAGTACAGCCTGCTTCTCCCTTAAATTCTCCGCATTCCATTTTGGAGCTAATTAAAATCAGCAGAGAACAAAGGTCGTCCTGGGGATTTGGAACTGAGGTCAAGTGTGGTGGATTCGATCGCAGTGATACCAGAGTTCCAGAGAGGGTTAAATATGAAGACGTGAGAACTCCATGCTGGTTAGTGGGAGTTACAGCGCTGTCAACTGGAGTCTGAAGGGTTGAAGGGCATGCGTTTTTTGGTGCCTTTACTGTTGGCAGAGAACTGTGAGAGAACTGGAAGCTTGAAAGCGACGTGGCAGAGTCTGGCCACAGGCGGACATGTCCGACATTCCTGTGGGTGATTATTACACAGAAATCCAAAGAGTCAGTGTGATACCTCAGGTACTGATACTGGCCATTTCATGCATCAAAGGTTTCTGCCTTTGCTGCTCTCATGGTGCCACTCATTTTCCCAGAGCCTCATCCTTCATAGATTTTTGATGCAGTGACATGTGTTTCTCTCTTCAGTTGCTCTTTATCATCTGCCCCACTACTCTATGTGAACCCCTCAACTACATCTACTGCATGAATTTTCTTTTTTCTATCTGTCTGACGGCTCCATCCATCATCAGCATTCTGCAAACGATCTCAACCTTGTGTCTGACCTTAACTCCAAACTTCGCAAACTTATCTGTCCTTGTGATATACTCATGTGCATATCTTTGTTTTTGTCATTTTTATATTGACCTACAATAAACTTAGGATCTGTCGCATGCAGCCACAATACACAAATTATTCAGCGCATCATAACAGGTGTCACATCTGCGTTGAAATCCAGTTATTTCCCATTTATGCAATTCCTATCATTTTCATCTTAATTGTTTTAGTTATGCTCTTCCTTCTTGGTATGAATTGGGAGTTGGGGGGTGGGGGGGGGCACCTCATCAAAGAAGAAGCCTGTGGTTGTATAACAATGTTGGCACCTAGAACAGAGCAGATAATGTTTCCTTAGAACATCAACTGTAGTGTTGTTACACAGCTGAGCTGAGGTTTCTGCAGAGAGTCCAATCAGAGCAGATTAATTAAAGCTGGAAGACTTTTTTTTAAACGTGTTGGGGGGGGGGGGGA